GCGCCATAACCGGGTCATCGGTGGACCTGCCTTGAACTTACACATACCCCAGTGGTCAGACCATCACACAGACTCTCTGGTCAAAAACTGTGGATCCTGAAGGGAAGCCTGAAGACTTGGAATATGGAGATAGTGTGCAGTACCGTGGAGATAAGGAGACTGACTGCACCCTGATAATCACAGAGCTTAGAGAGAGAGACTCAGCCATGTACAGTTTCAGATTCAAAGCACAACAGTGGAGTTACAATGACCCATTTCAGGTCACTGTTTGTCACAGATGTATTTGTAAAGGTTATTCGTCAGGGAGGGAGAGAAAGTCTGAATCTCATGCAGAACATCCTGCATTCTGAAGCGTAACTCTACTGACTACATCTTCTACAAGGACAAACTTCGCTTACCCAGCCCAAACAGACACTGGGGCATGTACCTTGACCCAGTCAGCAGTGAGGATGCAGGCAGCTACTCCTGTGTATTGGTTAGCCTCGAGATATCCTCCAAGGTCCACCATTGTGACAGTCAGCACAGCTCAGAATAAAATAGTGGAAGGCAGTTCAGTGACTCTGACCTGTAGCAGTGATGCCAACCCACCAGTGGAAAAATACACCTGGTACAAAAGGAACGGAACTGAAGTGAGCGTCTTACAGGGAGAAACAGAAAGTAACACCATCCTTAGTGTCAGTCTTGGGTACATTGACCGGTACTTCTGTGAGGCTAAGAATGAGATTGGAGCTCAGAACTCTACCTGGGACCTCGCCACAGATGATGGACTAGTGTATGTCTTGGCTCCTGTACTTGGGGTGGTGGCTGTCCTGACAGCTGGAACACTTCTAGTCCTCAGCTAATACACACTGAAGAAGATAAACTGTGGAGGAAGAGCTGATACACTGAGAGTCCATAATGTCAGTAATAATGCCTTGAACTCCGATGTGAGTGAGAAGGAGAGCATAGATAATATGAGTATGATGACATAGAGGGTGACCTTGATGAGTATGATGACATACAGGATGACACCTACACAGCCCTTCAGAGAGACCCTCGCCTCTCCATGTACCATACTATCCCCAAGAGAGAATCACCATAGAGCCTGAACTGAAGACCTACGACACCAACCCAAAGATAGGCCTTACACCTTTTTTTTCCTGCTATCACATTGACCTGTCTGGGATGTTTTCCACACATTGAGCTTTAATGTTAGAGTTTATGCTGAAGGTGAATAAGCTTGCTGTAATGTTTTGCCATTGGTTACTGCAATTGTAAATGGTGTTAGATTATTTGGTGTTAGAGTTGATTGTTACTTACTACACAAGATGAAAGAAACATCATCAACATCAGGTTGAAAGAATCATCATCAAATCACATGCAATTTTCCTATTCTTTACAGTGAGGGAAATATATGAAAATATGCCATTTAGTAATTGCCACTTTAATTACTGCTCATGCTCATTGTAATTCTCTTTAATCATGGATTGATTATTACAAAATAGAAATTTGTAGATATAGCAATAACAAAAAGCTATTCTGAAAGCAAAGATATCTAGGGATATCTAGGAATATATTAGCAATCTTGCACACCTTTCAGTATTGTTAATGTAATACTAAGGCGTTTATATTTAAGTCAATGAAATTCAATAAATGTTTGCTGTATGATAATTTAACATTTTTATTGATTCCTGGTTTATTAGCATACTGTAGTAGGACAATCACTCTTCACATAGTCATCTAATTGATGGCTGTTTATAATTAGCAGCCACGCACACACACACACACACACACACACACACACACACACACACACACACACACACACACACACACACACACACACACACACACACACACACACACACACACACACACACACACCATCAACCTCCCAGTACCACCTCCCATATCGGAAGCTAATCGCCTATCACAATACACTGCAACAGCTCTTTTCCTGCATGGCCTAAATTTTTTCTGTAGCCACTCCTGAAATGTGCTATAAATACCAGAGAGAGGGGAGAGGAACATACACACACACACACACACACACACACACACACACACACACACACACACACACACACACACACACACACACACACACACACACACACACACACACACAGTGAGGGTACACTCTTAGAAAAAAGGGTTCCAAAAGTGTTCTTAGGCTGTCCCCATAGGAGAACCCCTTTTGGATCTAGGTAGAAGAACTGTGTGCCAGGGGGTCACCCCCCTATGAGACTGCCAGGGGCTTAGTGAACACATACACACACATTCGGTAAAACACTCACACACAATAGGCTGAGGACATCGGCAAAAAAGTGGGATCCACACATCATAAGAGAGAAGAGAGAGAAAACTAAAGTGCTGTAGAGAGAGTGAGAAGGTAAGAGTAATTTAACCTAATTTTAGCCCTGGTCACCTGTGCTGTGGTGGGGATTATTCAGGATTTGAGTGAGGAATGAGCTGGAATACAGGGCCAGTAGGCCACTCTCATACACCGCTTTATCACACACTGAAAAAAACTGCGCTCTGGGAAAATGAGTCAGCTGATGGATTGGACTGCCACTTAACCTTGGCAACCATCTGGCCATGCCTACACATACATACACTCACACACACACACTTGGGTAGCCAACTGATCCTTGCACACTAGGTTGGTATTTCACAGAGAAGTGATGAGGAATGTAGAGAAAACAGGGGGAGAGGAGAGGACCGACTAAGCTAGAAAGAGGAGAAGGGAAGGAGTTATTCCGCTATTTTCATCACTTAAAGCCACCACATTCTATTTACCTGATTGTCACCAAGCAGCTGAGTCATTTAAGGGGTTCTTTAGCTCAGAGACACTGTTATGATATAGGCTTGCCTCCCCCTTATCCAAATGAAAGAGAATGGAATGGAACTTCTCCATGACCCTGGGAATGAATACATTGATATAGAAAGAATAACATTATTTAATGTGATGTGTGATACACTCTGTGATATATAGTGAATCTCATTATAGATTATCAGAGTCTGCAGAGACTGAACTGTGGGCCATTTGAAATAAATCTCATTTTGGAGACAGAGCCTGCCAGTAAGGTTTTAATCTTACTGCCTTGTCAGTAGTCTCTCTCTCTCTCTCGCTCTCTTCGCACAGGCTGTAGTCTCTCTCTTTCTCGCTCTCTATTTGTATAACTAAAACCTTCCCTCTCTTTGCCTCTCTTTCTTTAACTAGTCACATATCTTCGTTTCCCCCTAGCAGTATATTTTAGTGCTGTCTTTTACCTTTCAACCTCCCCATTCTGCATTGTTTCCTCTTTCTGTCCCTGGCTCCCCCTCATAGACTTTGAGTGGAATAGGACATCTGAAAGGGAAGAGTGGGAGGTTTTTGTTGGGATGGAGATGTTGTATTGCAACAGCAATCAGAGAAAGGTGTTTGAAAGAGAGGAGTGAGCTTTAACACTATGCTACACAACCACCTTGTCCATTGGGCATAGGTCCTGACCGTTATTCCTGCATGTCATACACTGAATGCATGTTCAACATCCTCATATCACTGTTAGAGAGAGATAGAGTCCCGCCCACTACCGCTAGAGAAAGCCAGCTCAGCCCCGCCCAGTTACTGTACATCCTGAACCTATTAGATCACAGAGGTAATGTAAACATTGTTCTGTTGCTACAGCCTGAAATAAAGACTCATCTGAGATTCCCTGAGCACGCCATGGTTTTTCTTCTAAATATTTTATCTTGCTCATGCCTTTAAAGATGAGAGCATTTTTGCTGATTTGACCATTTGCACCCGTGGAACTAATGGGACTTCAAACCCTTCAGTTCAGTTGGGAATCCCTGTTCCCTGTTCCAAAAAAAACCTGTTTGATTTCACCTAATTTTAACATTCTATCATAAAGAGCACATGCTCAACTTAATAAAATACAAATTCTCCCATCTCAAAAGGTTAAATTAAAAAAATACTATAGTAAGTGCCGATTAAGTGCCAAATAAAATAACAGGGTTGACCATAACTGGGTTGACGATTTCATCTTAAATCAGCCATAAATCCCCTTGTGACAGGGGGAATAGAAGTTGTGCGCAACAGGGAGTGGCAATTAAATGTAAGCTTCACAAAAAAAAGGAAATTGTTAAAACATTTCTAGCCTGTCTATCTATGGGTGACAGGGTTGACGTGTTATGCTCGACCCTCTCAGTTTTCGCACCACAAAACACCAGATAATTGCCAAAAAGAGTAGAACCAGCTTACCTGCTTTTACACTATGATTTGACTATTAGATGTTCAATGTTTTTTTTGAAAAAAATATTTAACAAGGAATAGTTTCACCAAATTAAAATGAGAATTCAATTCATGTAACAGGGTTGACCTTAAAATTAGGGACACTAATCACATAAAATAAATGAATCACTAATCACATGAAATAAATAATAATCTTCAGAAATGACTTTGTCAAAGCAACAAAATAACTAGGGTTTTACAATGATGGTGAAACTTGGAGAAATGTTGGGGTTAAGTGGGTTAAAATCTTCCTAGAGATGACAGGCTTGATGGAGAGACATGCCAAAGTGCTGAATTTTGGCACTTTATCAAGTCTTTATTCATATTAAAAATCAGATGTATTGAATTATCCATGTGGTCTACATGAAAGGGCACTTAATTTAATATAACAGGCTTTTAAAATTCAATATTGGTGCACAATTTCTACTTAAAATATCAAAGGGACGAAAAGGCACCCATTTGCACTTTCCGATGCACTCTCACTCTCTCACATAGAGGGGTACAGTCCTAGTTAGGGAAGGTTAGGCTGTACTGGAGGTCATCCATTTTGAGCTGCAGTTAAATTATTCAACCTGAAACCTCCTCCCTACATCCACTCTTTTCAAAATGACTACTATTTTAGATAGCTATTATACAGTGCATTGCACTTGAGTTGTCAGTTGATTTATGATCAACATAACCTCTGCCCCTATTCTAGGTATTGTATTTGTTCTGAGCTCTAACCAATATTGTGTGTGTGTTGCAGGACAATGGGGAGGACTCCCACAGAATTGCCCAGTCCCCGGTGGTCCATGTCAGGGGTCTGTGTGAGGCCGTGGTGGAGGCTGACCTGGTGGAGGCCCTGGAAAAGTTTGGGCCAATATGGTAAGAATCCACCCACATACAGTACCAGTCAAAAGTTTGGACACACATACTCATTCAAGGGTTTTTCTTTATTTTTACTATTTTCTACATTGTAGAATAACAGTGAAGACATCAAAACTATGAAATAACACATATGGAATCATGTAGTAACCAAAAAAGTGTTAAACAAATCAAAATATATTTTATATTTGAGATTCTTCAAAGTAGCCACCCTTTGCCTTGATGACAGCTTTGCACACTCTTGGCATTCTCTCAACCAGCTTCATGAGGAATTATTTTCCAACAATCTTGAAGGAGTTCCCACATATGCTGAGCACTTGTTGGCTGCTTTTCCTTCACTCTGCGGTCCAACTCATCCCAAATCATCTCAATTGGGTTGAGGTCGGGTGATTGTGGAGGCCAGGTCATCTGACGCAGAATTCCATCACTCTCCTTCTTGGTCAAATAGCCCTTACACAGCCTGGAGGTGTGTTTTGGGTCATTGTCCTGTTGAAAAACAAATTATAGTCCCACTAAGCGTAAACCAGATGGGATGGCGTAACGCTGCAGTATGCTGTGGTAGCCATGCTGGTTAAGTGTGCCTTGAATTCTAAATAAATCACAGACAGTGTCACCAGCAAAGCACACCCCCACCATCACACCTCCTCCTCCATGCTTCACGGTGGGAACCACACATGCAGAGACCATCCGTTCACCTACTCTGCGTCTCACAAAGACACAGCGGTTGGACCAAAAATCTCAAATATGGACTCATCAGACCAAAGGACAGATTTCCACTGGTCTAATGTCCGTTGCTCGTGTTTCTTGGCCCAAGCAAGTCTCTTCTTCTTATTGGTGTCCGTTAGTAGTGGTTTCTTTGCAGCAATTTGACCATGAAGGTGTGATTCATGCAGTCTCCTCTGAACAGTTGATGTTAAGATGTGTCTGTTACTTGAACTGTGAAGCATTTATTTGGGCTGCAATCTGAGGTGCAGTTAACTCTAATGAACTTATCCTCTGCAGCAGAGGTAACTCTTGGTCTTCCTTTCCTGTGGCGGTCCTCATGAGAGCCAGTTTCATCATAGCGCTTGATGGTTTTTGCGACTGTACTTGAAGAAACTTTCAAAGTTCGGATTGACTGACCTTCATGTTTTATAGTAATGATGGACTGTCGTTTCTCTTTGCTTATTTGCTTATTTGAGCTGTTCTTGCCATAATATGGACTTGGTCTTTTACCAAATAGGGCTATCTTCTGTATACCACCCCTACCTTGTCACAACACAACTGATTGTGCCCCCCACCCCTTAACCCCCTGTTTTCGTCATTGTAAGACATTGAAACAAAAAGACAATTTCAGAAATTGGAAATATGCACTTGGAAGACTGTGGATAAGAGTGTATGCTACGTGGATCATGTAAATGTAGTGTAGATATGTGTGAGCCATTTCCCCTCGGGCCTCCCCAGTGACTTGCCTTTCATCCTGTTTAAGTCACTGTGGTTCTGTAGAAATAAAACATTACATCAGCATGTACTGAAGCAGTGATCTAACAAGGCTGAACTCACTTCCTTTGAAGAGCTACACTCACAGACACACACAAACATTTTCAGTCTGTATACAATCAACTCACACACACAAACACCAGCACACACAGCTGGTTGTGGCCAAACCAAGCTTTTACCTCACAGAGACCTTGAGTAATAGAGAGAGCTCAGTGTTAATCAGGCTCATTATGTGGTGCAATATTCATTACGTAACATCCCATCAACCCTATGAGAGCTGCGGAAACAGCATACGACAGCATACCGTACCATAGTAACTGTGGAAACGATGGTAACTATCCAATTAGACCAGCATTGCCTATAGTATTGTCACAACAGCGGTTTCTCCCCTCTTCTGTTTTTGTGCATTTCTGTTGAGCCAACTTAGGCAATGTTTTTGAAAATATAAACAAAAAGCACCACAAACAAATAGAGCCGTTTGCTTTCTGGGAGAATTGTTTGAAAATTACCCATAACCTCAGAATTTAACTAGGAAATGTTTTACATTCAAAACTTGCAGAGTTTTAATTCTGTCAGTTCAGGACATGAGTTATCATCGGCCAAATTTCAAAGACACCCTATTTCCAATTGGTTTCTACTTTTGCCACCAAATGTCGTTCACTACAGTAGACAGGGAATAGGGTGTCATTTGAGCCACAGTCCATTTAGAGTAATAGACCAATTTTCTACTCAGTGAATTGAATTCTAATGGACTTCCTTATTGTTCTGTGTTGATGGCAGCTATGTGATGATGATGCCCTTTAAGCGGCAGGCGCTGGTGGAGTTTGAGATGGTGGAGTGTGCTGATAAGTGTGTGGCGTGTGGCAGTAGCGAGGCAGTCTACATCGCAGGCCAGCAGGCCTTCTTCAACTACTCCACCAGCAAGAGGATCACCCGGCCCACCAACTCAGACAACCCCAACAGTGGCAACAAAGTCCTGCTCCTGTCAATCCAGAATCCCCTCTACCCCATCACCACGGTAAGAACATGGTAACAGTACGTGACTCCTGGCATGGAGTCAGTGCTGAAAATTCATACTGTATTACACAATAGCATCACAGCAGTAACAGTAATTAACTTGCTCCGTGCCACCCTCCTGGCACTGTATGCATACTATATCCTCACCATGGTAACAGTACAGACCAAGAGTACCTCATTATTGCCCATGTTAACAGTAGTCAAGTGAATATATGAATCATAAGCATTGGGTATTATCATAGAACTGTATGATTTATTTTTGTACTCTTTCTTGCTCTCTCACTCCCTTTCTACCTCTCTATGTTACCCTCTCTCTTTCATTCTCTCTCTCTCTCTGTCTACCTCTCTCTCCTAATGCGAGCAGAGAGGCTACATTTAGAAAGTAGTGTTTAAAAACATTTTTTGGCTGTTTCGAGGTTAATTTCCCCCTGAGTTTGTGCATATCTCCTACCATACCCCCATCTATCGCCCCCTTTCTCTCTCACCTCCCACTGCTCTCTTTCTCTCCCCCCCCTCCCTCTCAGGTTGTATTGATAGATAGAGAGGGCTCTCCGCGCTGTGCCTGTAGTGTTCAGATAGCATGTGTCTGATGTAGGGCTGACCCCATTTAGTCGACTGGATGATTGTTTGGTATGCTGTAATAAAGGCTTTACACTTTTTTTTGTTAGAACGGCCTCTCTGGTATTACTTATCATTTATTTAGTGTTGTTTACACTCTTCCAAATTGTCAGAAAAATAATATTTATAATAATAATAACCCTCCTTTTTCTTGATCTCCTTCTTATTGTTATTATTACTATTATTATTATGATCATCATTATTATAATAAGTAATGTCGTTATCATTAGTATGCTTATATAGCAGCCTTGTATAACCACCATCGAGCTGTAGGCCTAAGAGCGCATCCTGTTTAGTCTTACCGTAACTTAGGCCAATATTTCAATACTTATATAGGCTACTGTATCAAACAATCATTCATTCGTTCATATCATAACACAGCATTCGAGTCATTCATGATTTGAAATGCAATCAAGTATTTTTGTTTTAAAATAACACAGCGACCCTTGAATAATTAGTGTAAACAATAAATAAACCGTTCCATATCGGCAATTGCATTCACGAATGCATGCGACTGTTTTTAGTCTTTGCTGTAATAAAGGCTTTCCAAATATATAAATAAAATAATAATTACAATAGAGTCTCTGGTACGTTTATAATTTATTTAGTGTTGTTTACATTGTTCCAAACAGTCAGAAAAATTATATTGTAATTGTAAGGTTCTGTATTTACATTTACATTTTAGTCATTTAGCAGACGCTCTTATCCAGAGCGACTTACAGTTAGTGAGTGTATACATCATTTATTTGTATTTTTTTTCATACCCCCCCCGTGGGAAACAAACCCACAACCCTGGCGTTGCAAACGCCATGCTCTACCAACTGAGCTACATCCCTGCCAGCCATTCCCTCCCCTACCCTGGACGACGCTTGGCCAATTGTGCGCCGCCCCATGGGTCTCCCGGTCGCGGCCGGCTATGACAGAGCCTGGATTCGAACCAGGATCTCTAGTGGCACAGCTAGCACTGCGATGCAGTGCCTTAGACCACTGCGCCACTCGGGAGACTTATTTGTTTTCTTAGTTCACCTTGTGTTCTTGTACGTAGCCCTGTTTCTTTGTGTTCTTGAACGTAGCCCTGTCTTTCATTTTTGTTCATTGATTTCACCTGTGTTAGTTACTCACCTGGTCTCATCAGCTCCTTATTTAGTTCAGTTCTTTCTGTTTGTGCCTTGTGAGGTGTTGTTTGTTTTGACTCTACTAAGCCTTTTCCTAGCTCGTTTGTGAGAACCAGTTTTAGCCTTCAGTCCTAGTTTTGTTTCACCTGCCTGTTTGCCTACCTGTGTATGACCATTGCCTGCCTGTGACCACGATTCCTGCCTTCTGCGAAGGCGTAATAAACACCTGCCGCACTCTGCACATGAATCTACACCTTTTTCTCCCTGAGTATTCATTACAGTAATCTAACAGCACCTGTTTGGTAGACATAATATGCACGCAGCGCTCCTTACCTTCTTTTTCTTGATCTCCAGTATTTTCAAATGTATTCCACACATCTGACTTCCCCTTTACCTCCTGAGCAACCAAACAAATGAGGGATTTCGATAACAGAACTTTTCAGTCAGAAATGGTTGTAATTATTTTGCAGGTTCAGCAACACAGGCTGCGCTATACACACTGATGGTGTGTGGTGGTTGCTGCAGCTTTTTTTTTTAACATAGCGCAGCAAGTCTGAGCCCGGCCCGGCACAATCAAATAAATTGCGGTCGGACTGCCTCTAGTCATCTGTGTGTCTTTAATTATTTCATCGAACAGTGCACTTAAAGCATCAGACAAGCTCAGTGCATATAGTTGATTTGATTAAAACACATAGGATGTGTCTATATATATATATATATATATGGAAAAATACACGTTTTACAATTTTGACCAATCGATTGGTCGAAAGATCAGACTACTCTGGGTCGACCAAGATGTTTTTTAGTCAAGGACAGCCCTAGGCTGATGATAAGAATACCAGGAAGCTCAGGTATATCAGTCTTCCTCAGATATGGATGCACAAATAGGCTGAGAAAGCATCAAGCCTTACGCTGTCTCACTCCAGCTGAGCAGAGAGGAAATAACACACGCCACAACCAAGATAAATGTGCAAAGACCTAGATAGGTTTGAATGATGTTATTATTGAGTCAAAAATAGGCATATTGTCTGATTAGAGAGACACAGACACTGTGTTAGAACATACAAGCATAGAAGTATGACAACACACTGTCACGATCGTCTGAAGAAGCGGACCAATACGCAGCGCGTGGAGTGAACATGATGACTTTTATTTAATAAAGCAACCACGAAAAACAACAAATGACGATAGTGAAGTCCTCTGTAACACTGACAGAAACATGGAACAAAAACCCACAAACCAAGGAGAAACCACACAATTTAAATATGGCTCCCAATCAGAGATAACGAGCCGACAGCTGACACTCGTTACCTCCGATTGGGAGTCATATGACTAATCAAGAACAATCACCCAACATAGAAATACACCCAAACAATGAAAATGAACAACCCTGGCTCAATAATCAAAGTCCATGGAGCCAGAGTGTCACAGTACCCCCCCCTAAAGGTGCGCACTCCGGGCGCACCAGCATACAGTCTAGGGGAGGGTCTGGGTGGGCGTCTGTCCATGGTGGCGGCTCTGGCCCAGGTCGTGGTCCCCACCCCACCTTAGTCACTATCCGCTTCCGTAGCCCCCTCCACCTGACCACCCCCCAATTAAACCCCACTGGATTAAGGGGCGGCACCGGACTAAGGGGCAGCACCGGACTAAGGGGCAGCACCGGACTAAGGGACAGTACCTGACTAAGGGACAGTACCTGACTAAGGGGCAGCACCGGACTGAATGGCGGATCCTGGCTGGCTGGCTCTGGCGGATCCTGGCTGGACGGCTCTGGCGGATCCTGGCTGGACGGCTCTGGCGGATCCTGGCTGGCGGAAGGCTCTGGCTGATCCTGTCTGGCGGAAGGCTCTGGCTGATCCTGTCTGGCGGAAGGCTCTGGCTGATCCTGTCTGGCGGAAGGCTCTGGCTGCTCCTGTCTGGCGGAAGGCTCTGGCTGATCCTGTCTGGCGGAAGGCTCTGGCTGCTCCTGTCTGGCGGAGAGCTCTAGCGGCTCCGGTCTGGCGGACGGCTCTGAAGGCTCATGGCAGACGGGCGGCTTTGCAGGCTCAGTACAGACGGGCAGTTCCTGCGGCGCTTGGCAGACGGACAGGTCAGACGGCGTTGGGCAGACGGGCAGTTCAGACGGCGTTGGGCAGACGGGCAGTTCAGACGGCGTTGGGCAGACGGGCAGTTCAGACGGCGTTGGGCAGACGGGCAGTTCAGACGGCGTTGGGCAGACGGACAGTTCAGGCCCCGTTGGGCAGACGGCAGACTCTGGCCGTCTGAGGCGCATCATAGGCCTGGTGCGTGGTGCCGGAACAGGAGGTACCGGGCTGAGGACACGCATCTCAGGGCTAGTGCGGGGAGAAGCAACAGGGCATGCTGGACCCTGGGGACGCACCGTAGGCCTGATGCGTGGTGCCGGAACTGGAGGTACCGGGCTGAGGACACGCATCTCAGGGCTAGTGCGGGAAGCAGCAACAGGGCATGCTTGGCCCTGGGGACGCACCGTAGGCCTGATGCGGGGTGCCGGAACTGGAGGTACCGGGCTGAGGACACGCATCTCAGGGCTAGTGCGGGGAGAAGCAACAGGGCATGCTGGACCCTGGGAACGCACATAAGGGCTAGTGCGGAGAGCCGGAACAGGGCATGCTGGACCCTGGGGACTCACATTAAGCCTAGTGCGGAGAGCAGCAACAGGACGCACAGGACTCGGGAGACACACAGGAGGCTTGGGGCGTGGTGTAGGCACTGGTGGGAAAGGGCTGGCGACGCGCACCGTATCCCTGGTGCGAGTGGCCGGAACAGGCCGGGCCGGGCTGGCGAAGCGCACCGTATCCCTGGTGCGAGTGGCCGGAACAGGCCGGGCTGGGCTGGCGAAGCGCACCGTATCCCTGGTGCGAGTGGCCGGAACAGGCCGGGCTGGGCTGGCGAAGCGCACCGTATCCCTGGTGCGAGTGGCCGGAACAGGCCGGGCCGGGCTGGCGAAGCGCACCGTATCCTTGGTGCGAGGGGTCGTAACAGGCCGGACCGTACTGGAGGCACACACCACTGGCTCTACCCCGGGAACTGGAACGGGCCGGACCGGACTGGATACACACCTCAGTCTCTCACGCCGTGCCTCTACATCTCCTTTCCCTACTTTGGCCAGTGACCCCCGTAACCTGGTTGCCTCTTGAATTCGCCCCTTCTCTGCCTCCGTTAGCCCCGTCGTCCAAGCCATGTGCCCCCCCCCAAAAACTTTTTGGGGTTGCCTCTCGTCCTTCCAACGATGATGGCCCTGCTGACGCCGTTGCTCCTCTCGCCGTCGCCTCTCCACCGTTTCGCTCCATGGACGGCGATCCATCCCATCCAGGATCTCCTCCCAAGTCCAGGACCCCTTTCTGTCCAAAATCTCCTCCCATGTCCAGGAAGCCTTTGGAGCTGGGTCCTGTTGCCGCTTCACACGCTGCTTGGTCCTTTGATGGTGGGTTTTTCTGTCACGATCGTCTGAAGAAGCGGACCAATACGCAGCGCGTGGAGTGAACATGATGACTTTTATTTAATAAAGCAACCACGAAAAACAACAAATGACGATAGTGAAGTCCTCTGTAACACTGACAGAAACATGGAACAAAAACCCACAAACCAAGGAGAAACCACACAATTTAAATATGGCTCCCAATCAGAGATAACGAGCCGACAGCTGACACTCGTTACCTCCGATTGGGAGTCATATGACTAATCAAGAACAATCACCCAACATAGAAATACACCCAAACAATGAAAATGAACAACCCTGGCTCAATAATCAAAGTCCATGGAGCCAGAGTGTCACACACACACTAAAGGACTGATAGATGTATGTACATAGATATATACACGCTTCCTTATAGACAGACACAATGCCATAGATAGTGTCTTATATCAAGACCAATGGTACTTTAAATAAATGGATAGCATATAGGTTCCTGCGTCCAGATTGCATCCTCTCTACTCTAAGCACACACAGATGTTCCTACTTTATTGAAGTCTCACATAAACACTCGTTCTCATTATTCCACCAATTTCACACAGTAACCTCTCAAATATTGTGAACAAATTTGTCACAGCCTGGTATATTGTCTTCGGTGTTGTAGGTATCAGGGAGAAATGCAGTTTTAATTGGAGCATTTATCTTCCAGCTGCAGCCTTGGTGAGAGCTGACTAAAGCCTTCTGTGTGTCTCCATCTCTTGTCTCCAAGGATGTTCTCTACACAGTGTGCAACCCCATAGGCAGTGTAATGCGCATCGTCATCTTCAAACGCAACGGCATCCAGGCCATGGTGGAATATCCTTTCTGTCTAGCTGGTTGGCTGGCTGGCTGGCTGTTAGGGTGTGAGTGTGAGTGGTGGAGGGTGTGGCCATAAGAAAGGCATCCCCAGGTCAAATTATTCAACGAGCGTAGATTTGTTTTTGTTGATGGTTTTAGAGGTTTAATAACTGCTATCTGGGGACTTGTAATTGTACATTGAGGCTTGAGGTTATTTGGTTGTGTTGCTGTTGTCCTTAACTCTCCCTCCTCACATTTGAGTCCATCGAGTGCGCTCAGAAAGCTAAGGCTGCTCTCAATGGAGCCGACATCTACGCCGGCTGCTGCACCTTAAAAATAGAATATGCAAGGGTAAGTCTATATTCACCACACACAATATATACATAATGCTTAGCAACTAGATTTTGTTTAAAACGCCGGAGCACTTCTTGATGATCAGCCTCAGCATGCAACATATCTGTTGTTTCCCTCCTGTAGCCAACTCGCTTGAACGTGATCAGAAATGACAACGAGAGCTGGGACTACACAAAGCCTTACCTGGTCCGAAGAGGTAAGATTCTGCACCTTGTTCTGTAGGCTATGGAGCGCTCTCATTGTGTAGAAGCTGCTGAGTTAGGGCTACAGGCTGCCATATAGGGCTCTCATTGTTTCAGAGTGTCCATGGGCAGCCTGCAGGGCAGAGTCAGGTTTTCCTCCCTCTGACTTAGTCACTTTATCTGAAATCTGCCCAGGCTGCAAACAGAACGGCAGGAGAGGAGCGGTAAGGATATCAAAGAAGTGTGGCTGTTTCTCTTCTCATTCCTCACAAGCTGTAGATAGATCCGCGCTGAGCTGAGAGAGAGAGAGAGAGAGAGAGAGAGAGAGAGAGTTGGACTGTTTGTCTTGAGTTTAGTCTGCATCAGCTGAAATGAGACAGAGAAATTGTGATACTTCTCTTTAACATGTGCTAACTTGAGACAGAGAGATACTGAGTCAGAGGCTGAGGAGGGCACAGTGGTTGTATTTTATTTTTATTTAACTATAGAAATGTTATAGTAGCAAAGATGCTGTTGGAAAAAATAGCAGAGATATGGCCTGTTGTTGGCTGCCCCTCTTTACTACCCCCCCCAATCCCACCCTGTCTATGTGAAGTCATCATTGTGACTGTAGCATCCCCTATTGGGAGGTGGTTAAGGACCAGTATGGACCACAGACCTGCAGTCAACCAAGCCAACACAAGACCGACCCACTGCGCGTCCTTCTCCAAGCAACACACTCTCACATCCGTCTCTCACAAGCCTGCACCTGCCGCCCATGGGAATAGAGAGACAGAGGGAGAAAGAGAAAAAAGAGGGATGGACGACAGGCTGACCCTGCACAGCAACATGCATCCATCTTCACCCAAACCTCAAGGGAGAGGGAGAGAGACTACTCATTCATCCTGACCTCATGCAACCTCAACATCAACACGCCCAGGACAACCCGCCAGTGCCACCTCATGGCTGGAGGACTGACTGCTTTTAGACTCTTTAGACTGGACCTATTTTCTTCTATTGCTTGCGGCCTGATCTTATTCAGTCAGTGATCTGACTGGTTAAAACCCTTTATATTCCCTCACCAATTTTTTATTTTTATTTTACCTTTATTTAACTAGGCAAGTCAGTTAAGAACAAATTCTTATTTACAATGACGGCCTACACCAAATAATCAGTAGTAGAAATATTGATGAATTAGTCTATACTATCCCTAGTCTGGACATTGGAACATAAGTGTATTTCTCTCTTTGTCTTCTAGGCTGTGCAGAGATATGTATTCTATTAAGTCAGACAATATGCAAAATATCTCTGCTCTGTATTCTACTTAAACACCAAGGTGACACTATCTTCTACTGTAAGCTCTACTTTATATTATAATATTTCTGTCAGTGTCAATGTGTTGAAATGCCTACTGTAGCAGAGAGAACTGTTTAGATAAAATCCTGAACATTGAGTGTCTATTCTTGAATGCACTGTTAATGGAAGTACATTGTGTGGATAAAGAGAGTCACAGTTCCTTTTATGATTGTCTCAGCTCCTGCAATTTAAGTCCCAAGTCTTAGAGTTAAATCCTTAGTAAAGTCACAGCTCTGTAAGAACTGGAGCCCCTCTATCAGAGACCCAACTTCTCTATCACTATCTGAAAGTCATTTCCCTGTGAAAGTCAGCCCCTTTTCTCCTAGTGCATCTATCTACTCAAACTAACCATGGGACATAGTCGACTGCTTAGTGGGTTCACCCTATGATTAATATATCCCTTTACTGCATAGCTAAATGAGAACTCAGGCGATATGCTAACAAATTTGAAAGCCCAGTGAGAGTGAGTTAGCCTCCTGCTGGGGCGGCGTTCTTACGGCACTCAAATGTATCTCCAGCGTCCTCTGTGGACATCTCTCAAAGCTTCAGTACCATGCTGCGCTCCGCTTACCTTAGAGGAACATATCTTTTATTCACTTTAAAGCTCCCTCACACCTTTATTATACTGGGTATCGGATTGTATATCAGCATAACTATAAGTCATGGCTCTATCAGCTACTGTATAATGAAGTAACCCACACCTACAGTATATACTGTATCATCCGGTCTGTATCACCTGTCTTTATACAGAACCTATATACCTGGCATTTAGGAACAGGTGTCAACATGGTGTTACAACATGTTAGTGCTCGATGCTCTACGTGCAACAACATGGTGTCTTTTTCACACCCCAAGGGGACCAGCCAGAGAGGCTCTCTGTGACATCACGTCCCCTGTGAGGTGCCTTAGCCAAAGCAGGGTTCATATAGCTGTTGCCCACAGCGAAGATTAGCTGCCTTTTTAGCTAATAGTCCTCCGCAAGAAGACTTTGCTATGACTCTCATCCCCTGGCCCCTTTGGAGGAAATAGAATTTGACTTGGGTGGGGTAATAACTAGCCATTTAAACTGAAATTCTAACGGACCATTTCCAAACAAATGGAGGAAGTCAGCCAAGAAGAGAAGCAGTGCTTTATTTCTCTTATCATGCTCAGTGCACCAGTTGGGAATCATGATTGGCAAAGCAAATCTGTTCTCTGGTAACTTTACCTGGATAAATAAAGGTTGAGTGCACAGCATGGGTCTACAGTCTCTCTGAGGGTGTTGTTAATGATGGATAGTTTTCCCTTCTTCTCCCCCCCAGAGGACGAGCAGAGGAGAGAGGGGTTTTGTGAGGCATGGGTGGTGGGGGGTGGATCTCAGGGTATAATAGATGCTGTTTGAGGCATGATTGTGGAGGGAGGGTGCATAGGGTGAGATGGTGGGAGGGGGGGGGGGGGGTGGTGATGGCTTCCGCTGGCACTGCAAACAGGGCGGTGAACCCTGCTGTACGCCCCTAATCTGCGACTGAAGGTCACTTTGACTGTCTGATGAGCGCTCTCTCACTTAATAATCCCCCTTATCATTTTACACCCATGCAGCATTTCAGTAGAGTGTGTGTGTGTGACTGTGACTTGGCATGGGGGGACTGTGGTGGATACCACAGGGCATCACCTAACCCCCCAACCACAGAGCTGACCTGGCTGCAATAGTTATATAGATTGGCTCCTGTAAGCTATAGTGGAGCATTACAGACTAATAAAGGAGTGGCGCAGCGGTCTATGCACTGCATCTCAGTGCTAGAGGTGTCCAGGCTGTATCACAATCCGGCCGTGATTGGGAGTCCCATAGGGTGGCGCACAATTGGCCCAGCATCGTCCGGGTTTGGCCGGGGTAGGCCGTCATTGTAAATAAGAATTTGATCTTAACTGACTTGCCTAGTTAAATAAAGGTTAAATAAAATAATAATAATTGTAAGTTATAGAGGGGCTTTTCAGTTGTAGAGGTAAAGTTCTTGAACTGAATAATTTGAGTTATATTATCTGGGCTTCCATGTAGATATACAGGAGCTCTGATTCATGGAAGGTTCCCACTGGGCACACACTGGTTGAATCAACATTTTCCCATGTCATTTCAATTACATTTCATTGAACCAACGTAGAATAAATGTTGAATTGACCTCTGTGCCCAGTGGGTTTCTTTTATCTGTTCAACTCTGTTATTAGTCTTCTATTTAGGGGCTCAGTTGGGACTGCTGTTGTGGGAGATGGAACTGCAGCTGCTCTTTGTCCATCCTGTGCCTCCATGCATCTCTCTGTGATTCTGTGGCAGATGTGAACTGACTGTATGATGATGCAACACAGGTTGATGTTGTGCAGTTGTGCTGAAAGAGACAACCTGTGCCAGTAAAGCCAAGACCTCAGTGAGAGGGTTGCTGACTGTTCACGCTAGTGATGTAATTCAGGTACTTTTCCTCCACCAATCTTTGTATAAAAATGTAACAATGTTTTCCCCCCGTTTAAAATGTGCCCTTTGTTTTTTATTTTATTTTTGAATCTTCTCCACTGTTCCTTGTCTATAGATTGCTGAAGGATTTAAATTGTATTTTGTAAATTAAATTGCCATTGTGGTTAACTGTAGACCTACTTCAGGCCTACATGTATTGGTGTCTCCTTCTCTCTGTGTGTAATAGTACAACATAGTAATACTGTTAAAATAGTATAGCATAGTACTACTGTTCAAAATGCATGGTAAAGATACAACTGTGGATGCATTGAAGTCCTTCTAATGCACAGTATTACCAGAATTTATATTCTGGTATCAATTCATATAATTTTTCCATATGTCGTTTTGAATTTTCATTATTGTGCCCAATGCCTATAGTACTGTTACTATGTGAACTTGTAAATGAATGTAAAAAGTCAACAGAGTTGGGGTATCACCAGTGTACTCAGACTCACCTGTAATGTCACAGGGTTTCTGTCGCTTCTCTAATTATAATATGCTTATTTACCTCCAATGACCTTTTTATCCGCATGTCTATTTGAATAGCTCCTATTTGAATGTGCAGCCCAGAGCCATTTTCCTCATATTGTCTCCCTATGCTGTGAATGTGTTGATGTTTCAGAGCGTGGGAAGGGCAGGCAGAGACAGGCCATACTAGGGGAGCACCCGTCCTCTTACGGAGACAATGGATACGGTAAGATCCCCCCCTCCTAACCCCAGCACCAAAACACTACCCTATTACTCAGTGTGCCAACCATATCCCTCTTTAATGTGGCCCTCTTTTGATGTCACGTAGGTTGATACATTGCTATGTTTTCATTGATAAAGCTCTTTTACAAAAAGTCCCACTGTACCTAACATCTTTACTAAACTTTAGACATATCAGTACCACACCCGGTCTCAGGGATGGCTAACTCTGGAAATTCCTTTGCTCTCTACTGAGTTAGGTAAATTAGCTTCTTCTTGCACCTTATTTGTGGAAAAATCTTCAAAATGTTCTTAAATTTGATGTTTTGGTGCCTCTAGGGTAATTCAGAAGGCTGATTGAGGACCTTATTACTGATTAATGTGTTTGTTTTTTATTACCGTGTTTTTCTTTCTTTCTTGCATTTTGTATTTATATTTTAATGAGTCTATTTTCTGTAATTTATGTAATTCAGGGTTCATCTGGAAAAGAGACCTTGGTCTCAGTATGACTCCCTGATAAAATAAAGGTTAAATAAATAAATATCGGCCTCCTTCATCTCTATGTCACACATACTGCTACATTATCCACACTATCCACACAGACATCTACCTTATCCACACTCTATCCACACTTCCCACACACCCCTACTGCTCAGATGGAGGGTGTAGATTCTCAACCCTATCTGAAGGTGATAGGAGTAGAGACCTCCAACCCTGCTTTGTCTCAAGAGGCTAGTAGGGAAACATAAAACCCATCTCCACACTCCTTTCACCATCAGGGTTGTGTTCATGAGGACCAAACAGGACAGGAAAGTAGGAGCTGATCTCCTCCGTTTCAAAATGTTTTCTCCTGTTTCATGCCTACTGAGCACAACCCAGGTGGAAGTGAAAGTTGTAACCTGCTCCTCCTTTCCCCTTGTGTTATGTATTCCAGGGTCACACTGCCCCCTGCTGCCTCTCCCGGGGAACAGCAGGTACAAGCTGAGCTCCCACGACATCCCAGAGGTGGTGGCTTACCCCCTGCCCCAGAGCTCCTCCTACAACAACCACGGCTCCAGCTCTGTTGCTATGGTGAGCGGCCTGCACCCCGGCAAGATGAACTGCACCCGCATCTTCAACCTCTTCTGTCTCTATGGCAACATCGAAAAGGTCAGCAGGGGGGCCCACCTGAGCAGGAATTTAAGGGCATCCATGTGTGTGTTTCTGATAGTTTGTGTGTGAATGAACATTTCATTGATCTTTCTTCTTTTTTTTTTGGGGGGGGGGGGTTAGTGTGTGTTATTCTGTTTGAAGTATTTCTGTTTGAAGTAGGTGTTGCTAAAGGTGTGTGTATCTATGGAGTATTTGAGGTTGGCTGTGCACATAATGTCTGAATCTGTTTGTGTGGCAGGTGAAGTTCATGAAGAGTGTCCCAGGCACTGCCCTAGTAGAGATGGGGGATGAGTATGCAGTGGACAGGGCGATCACTCACCTCAACAGCATCAAGGTGTTTGGCAAGAGGCTCAACGTCTGGTGAGTATCCTTGTTAGTACATTAGAGGGAAGCTTAGGACCTGCAGTATTCAACCACGTAGTTAATATTATTGTCTACTATCTAGTATCTTATTACTCTTTCTCTGTCTTCAACTCCCTCCCTCTGCATTTCTCTCTTCCTCATTTTTCTCTCTCTCTCCCCCTCTCCTCTCCCTCTCTTCAGTGTGTCCAAGCAGCATGCTGTCATCCCCAGCCAGGTGTTTGAGCTGGAGGATGGCAGCAGCAGCTATAAGGACTTTGCCATGACCAGGAACAACCGCTTCACCAGTCAAGGCCAGGCCTCCAAGAACATCATCCAGCCACCCTCCTGTGTGTTGCATTACTACAACGTCCCCCCCTGCATCTCTGAGGACCAGCTACTGAGGGTAGGGCTGTGATGATGACTATGGTGGAGATAGGGTGTGAGCAGAGGCCTAAACAGAGGGGTTGAAGGTCAAGGCTAGAGGACGGGATGGAGGGAGTAAGGTTATGATTAACTCCCATAAGTCCATCCCTTTGTACTGCACTACTGCAAATCCCTCCTGGCATCTGAAAGTACCAGCTGCTGAGTGTATGGCTGGGATGGCAGGGTAGGAATTGGGTATGGGGAAGGGTTTCTGAGGTCCATATGGGGTAATCCTGTGTGCTGAACTATTACAAGCCCCTCCCCCTACATTTCCGAGGGCCAGACGGATCTTGGGTATGTGGTTGGAATGAGGGTGCATGTCTAATATTTTGTCAATAGAACTAAGAGGTGAATTTAGCCTGCTACTCTTTTGCTGCACAATTACAATAGCTTGCATAGAAGAAGACGACCACTGATGCTTCTGCCTGTCACTCACTGTCAAAGATCTTTGTAGTTTGACTGATACTAAAGAGCTCCATCTTGTGGAGGTGGTTAAAATCCAGCAGTAATGTCTCACAACAACCTTCAAATCAAATCACATGCGCCGAATACAACAGGTGTAGACCTTACAGTGAAATGCTTACTTACAAGCCCTTAACCAACAAAGCAGTTTTAAGAAAGAATACCAAATAATGCAAATAGTCTGGGTAGCCATTTGATTAGATGTTCAGGAGTCTTATGGCTTGGGGGTAGAAGCTGTTTAGAAGCCTCTTGGACCTAGACTTGGCGCTCCGGTACCGCTTGCCGTGTGGTAGCAGAGAGAACAGTCTATGACTAGGGTGGCTGGAGTCTTTGACAATTTTTAGGGCCCTCTGACACTGCCTGGTATAGAGGTCCTGGATGGCAGGAAGCTTGGCCCCAGTGATGTACTGGGCCGTACGCACTACCCTCTTATTATAGTGCCTTGCGGTCGGAGGCAGAGCAGTTGCCATACTAGGGAGTGATGAAACCAGTCAGGATGCTCTCGATGGTGCAGCTGTAGAACGTTTTGAGGATCTGAGGACCCATGCCAAATATTTTCAGTCTCCTTCTTTTTCCTGTTGTCCATAATCATCTCCTTTATCTCAGCTGTTCTTTTTTTACAGTTATGCTCAGAGCATGATGTGCCAGGTTTCACCAAGTTCAAGATGTTTGATGCAAAGCGTAAGTTTGGCCTTTTCTTTCTCACTTTTTCCATTTGTGTGTGTTAGGTTGTTGAAGGAGTTAAGTTGTCTTTCTCTTCTCTCTTCTTGTCAGCCTCCTCCAAAACCATTTCTGGCTTGTTAGAGTTTGACTCCAAGACACACGCGGTCGAGGTCTTGACCGTTCTAAACCACTACCAGATCAGAATACCAAGTAAGTGACCAGATGGCCTTGCTTTCCTCAACAGTGACCGCACACTAGCACCAAACACTTGACTGTTAGTGGTCACTGTCAGCATGAGAACTGAGAGTGTCACATACAGTCAGAGAAATGCCCATAAAATTGGATTCAGACCAAACTTACATGAAGACCTGAAGACTTACTAATAAATATATCTCCTAAATCCTATCTAATAAAACAAATTTAAATATCAATCAGTGATTCATAAAATTCAATCTGTCCCTTTACTGCACTGAAATAGCCATTCTTATTGCCAATCTATTTTTCCTGAGTGAAATAGCATGAGGGACATGTTATAAAATCCAAAGGGGAGAAAGCTGTCAATGCTGTCTGTTCTAGCAGCAGGTGGTTATTTTTCATATTAATTCTCCTGTAACTGTTGGTTGGCACCGCAGGTGTTTCAGCCTGGCCCTGTGGAATCAGTCGTTATCAGAGAGGGAGATTAGATGTATGTGTGTGTGTTTGTGTGTGTGTGCTTTAAGTGAGACAGAGGGAGCACACTAGGACAGGAGTCGCCACCATCTGCTGCACACCTTTTTATCTTCCCAGACCGGACATAATGCTCCTGTCTTCAGAATTCTCCCTGCCAATGTCCCCAGCAGAGTGTGCACGTGTGTGGGCATGCCATATGATCATGTGTGTTTGTTTATGTGTAAGGATATGTGTGAGTGTGTGTATAGTATGTGTGTAACCCAGTGTGTCTGACCTTTTCCAGATGGCTCTAACCCCTACACCCTGAAGCTGTGCTTCTCCACGTCCTCTCACCTCTAAGGACCACAGGACCAGTGCACCAGCAGGACTGAGCCAGAGCCCAGCAGGAGATGGAGAGAAGGCGAGAGAGAGGGAAGCGATGGAACTGGGGCGAACAGACTACTAAGCTAACAAGACACTGACAAAGAGGGCCCTCGTCCAGACTGACTGTCTCCCCTTGAAGTGGGGAAGACTACGGAAAGGCAAAAGTGTGAAACACTTGAGATTGCTGAAGAGGTTTTCTCTTGCACCTCTTATTTTGGAGTATTTTTTGTTCTCTTCGTTTTTTGTTGTCTCTGTATAGAGAGAGCCAATCAGAACTAAGAACTGAGAGATGACACCCTGTCTCTTCCCGGCATCCATTGGGGCTGAGCATGGTACCTTATCAGGTAAACCCTGAAAATACTTGTTGTGGACAGAATGAGATGACTTGTTCATTTTTGTGTTGTGTTTGAAGACTGAATAGAGGACATCCATTATGCCCATGCTGGTGAAGACTATCCAAGATGGTCGCCATATTTATGGGTTGACAGTGCTGCTTTTATGCTCAGCACATTCAGTTGAGCAGCAAAAACTCAGTCGGTACTTCAGTGGAACAATGTGTCAATATGAATTTTAAATCATACTGTAATATGTTAAACGTGTATAGAATTGAATTGGAAGTTCTGTTATGGGGGGGGGTAATATCAATCTTATTTGAAGACATTGTGTCAGCAGGTGTTTTGCTTTGGAGTGGTATTTAATGATGCATTTGTATGATGTTTACACATGAAGAGCCCATGGTCTGTGTAGTATGTCAGTGTTTTGGGGCACTCTGTTTGAGTGTTAGTACTGGGTTCAGTGTTAGTATCATGGCTCGCCTGCACTGGTTCAGTGTCAGTAGTTTTGCACATTCAGACAGTTTTAGTGTTTAGTGGCACGCCGATATGTCTTATGTTCACAAATCGCTGTATCCAGAATCATTGTACATCAGCCCTAGCTCTTTCCCTGATTAATTAGCAAATATAGCAACAATGTTATGGAGATTTTTTAAATTTTTAATCCCTCAAATACCTAAGGTTATTTGGGAACAGCCCTGCCGAAGAGGGTAACAAATAATATAATTGTACAAATGCTTTGTACAACAATTGTGGAATTCCATTTTACTTGCAAAATAAGGAAATTACATGTTAACACCAAATTCCATGGGTCTACTCTGTATATTGTACTGTATAACATTAGCAAATACATAGGTGTTATTCAACCTTTCTGCAAATAGCAGACTATAATATTTGCCACTACAGTGAAGGGTTATCCAGGCACAGGATCAGGGGTTGGTTGGTTCTGGATGCATCCTGAGAGTGTGACATTCATTAAACATTCAGCAGTCTCCAGATCCTCTTACATCTTATGATTCGATAATTGTTCCACATTGTGAGTTACATTTCAAAAGCCTTGAGTTACCTTAAACAGCAGTCTTGTGCTTAATTTAATGGTATCATCAAATGTAAGGAGGGTCTTAAATTCTCACTACACGCATGTTCAGGTAGGTAGTACCCATGATGTCCATGTCTGACTGGTCATTAAATGGCGTTGTGTCTATGTCTTTGTGGTGGATTTTGTGTTTGAGTTTGGTAATCTGTGCCAGTGATAGTCATTGGAGTGACACCAGAATAAAATATTAATGATCACTACTGATTGTGTCTCCAGCCCTATGAGCTTTGAGAACACACTCCCATGAATCATCTTAAACAAATGTCAGAGGATCCCTCTGCCCACAAATGTATCTCTGATGGCATAACTTGTGGAAATAGAATACTGCAGCCTTTTGGCTTTCTAGAGCCCCACTGTCAATAAAGGAAAGCAGGTTCAAACAGCGAAAGCTTTACTTTTCATGACTTGACAAAAAATAGATGTACATTTTAATGTGGAGAGAGCTGGTTGGGAGGCTGGGACAAAGGAAGTGGAAATGCAAGAATGAAAACTGAGGCACACACACACAGTAACATTATTCATGCTAGTTACTTTTCCTTTCACATGAGATACTGTACACAGCTAGCGACATGTACTGGAATAACAAACATGGCTTGCTCTCTTAACTGAAAAATCAACTCCACTCCCATGCAATCTCTCTCTTTCACACTCCAGCCTGGTCTCTACCCACAACTTTAGAGAATGTTCCCTTAAGAGTCTCATTAGGTCATTAACAAACGTTTTCATAGGAATGTTCCCGTGATGTGCAAGGAAAGTTTCCAAGAGACCATTCCCTTAATGTCAAATAGAACTTACTCAGGACATGGTTACCATGTTCGCAGAACTTAAGATATTAATGTTTTAGACACATTTCATGGGAATGTTGCATGAACATTCGTGTGTCCAGTTTTCTGTGGGTTAGGAGACTATTCCATCAACGTCCCACCAAACATACACAGAACATGGTTGCCATGTTCTCAGAACATAAGATATTGTTCGAGACAAGTTTCATGGGAACGTTATGTGTCCCAAAATGTTTTTGTTACACATCACTGTTGCCAAGCTAATCAATGCCTGATTGGTGAACCACTAATCAATTATTATTATTTTTAGTCATTTAGCAGACGCTCTTATCCAGAGCGACTTACAGGAGCAATTAAGGTTAAGTGCCTTGCTCAAGGGCACATCGACAGATTTTTCACCTAGTCGGCTCGGGGATGAGGAGTATTTCTGTCGATTGTTTATATGGACATTTCGTTAGAACACTTTATGCATCTTTGTTTATTACCATAATTTGTATAGATTTCTCCTCTTTCACACATTTATGGAACTTTGATTACCAGCTTTGTGCCTTTATGTACAACCTCCAGATGCTTTTTCAGGTTTGATGTGGTGTTTCTGGATGAAGAGATCAATGATGTCTTTGCAGAGTTTGCATTTGACTAAAATGTAGTTCTCTTTCTCCTCAATTAACTCAAAATAATGGGAGCATTTACACAAGGAAAGGTTAAGCGGGGTAACACAGCTGCCATCTTTCTTCGATTTTTTCCGCTTGATAGCCTATTGGAAATGATTTAGCATACAGCATGAATACCGTTAGCATGAGACAAGGCTTTAATAAATACTGTATATATAACTCACCAGTAGAGATATGTTTCTGAAAGTAATACACTGGTTACTTGAAAAAGTAACTGTAATATTACAATATTTGAAGACAGTAACTCGTTATATTACTCATAAAAATAATACAACTGTAAGTAATATATTGCCCCAAACCTTGGTCCCAAGTGATTCTGTTGCAATTTGTCTGTTTTTCCACATTAAAACTTGGAGATGGAACTGTGTTGTGTATTGTTTTGGTATAACTGGCATCATCATTGCTTAAATGCCTAATGTGAGAAAGTACAGACATGCTATGGTGTTACTGTAAATAAATACATTTCTGATATTCTGAGAATATGGCAACCATGTTCTAGGTATGTTTCTGTCAGAAGCAACACTACCAGCTGGGCCATGTTTCGGCCACAAATTAGGAATATTGCAGATATAAATGCAATGATGAGAGCTGATGTGATTCCTTATCAGAGGCACGTTTGTTCTAGATGGTATATGTGGTGTGGATTTCAAAAAGACAATAGAGAGTTCTCTTTTAGATGCTCAGCTATCTAGAATACTACTGATTCCCAGTAGCGGTGAGTGGGTAAAATCACTGGGGAAGCCAAGCCCCCATTAAAACTAGTTTTTCAACCACTCCACAAATTTCTTGTTAACAAACTATTGTTTTGGCAAGTCGGTTAGGACATCTACTTTGCGCATGACACAAGTAATTTTTCCAACAATTGTTTACAGACAGATTATTTCACTTATAATTCACTGTATCACAATTCCAGTGGGTCAGAAGTTTACATACACTAAGTTGACTGTGCCTTTAATCAGCTTGGAAAATTCCAGAAAATGACGTCATGGCTTTAGAAGCATCTGATAGGGTAGTTTACATCATTTGAGTCAATTGGAGGTGTACCTGTGGATGTATTTCAAGGCCTACCTTCAAACTCAGTGCCTCTTTGCTTGACATCATGGGAAAATCTAAAGAAATCAGCCAAGACTCAGAAAGAAAATTGTAGACCTCCACAAGTCTGGTTCATCCTTGGGAGCAATTTCCAAACGCCTGAAGGTACCACGTTCATCTGTACAATCAATAATACGCAAGTATAATCACCATGGGACCATGCAGCCGTCATACTGCTCAGGAAGGAGACGCGTTCTGTCTCCTAGAGAT